GAGCAAGCGGCAGGAGAATCCCGGCGGTGGCTCTCCACCACCTGGCTGCTTTTCAATGCAGAGGAAACCCTCCACTCCTGAGTCTATCAGCTCCAGGAGATGCCAGGAGCTGGCACAAGGGGCAAGACAGACGTGCAGCCCAGCAAAGCTGCTGACCAGCTTGCTGACACAGACTGGCAAAACCCATGAAATAAAAATTGTTCGTGTAGTATAAAAAGACTTTAACTCACTGAATAGACAAAAGGTCTGTATTGGTTCACAAATATACTGTTTTTTAGCAGCATAAATGCTAGTTTGGCATCAATATTCATGAAGATATGTTCCTTGCATCAAGACCTTCCTAAAAACCCACAGAAATAAGAACAGAAAAGGATGTCATTTTTGTCCAAGATGATCTGCCTCAGCAAAAATATCTCAGAAAGAACCATTAATATTGCTGTAAAATAACACAGTATTTAATAATTAATAACTATTTCAAAATAACACAGTATCTAATAATGAATAACTATTTCATTTTCATAGATTCAATGGTCTTACTTCTCTGTTCTTTTTCAAAGGTTGTAAATTTAATCTTCCTAATCCTTTTTTTATTTGTTAGAAGGCACTAAGCAGTAACACGAATTACTGCAAAAATGACTTTGTGCTTGTGTCCTTTATAAAGCATAAGGAATTAACCGTGACAGTCAAAGTGCGTATATTTGATGTAACAATATCTTAAATTCTGATAATACAGTAGCTGTGAGTAATCACCATGTCCCACACAGGGATTAGCACCCTGTGGAACTTTGGGTATTAATGACTCTGTAATAGTATGTATTAGAAAAATACCTCCTGTTAAGCTTAAAAGAGAAAAAGAGATAAGGCAGAAAAATGTGGGCGTATTAACCCAGTCATCACTTTAACTTTATCTATGATTTCAATGTAATAAAAATTCAAGGGAGACCTGTACTGTTTTTAAGAGCTTGCCAAGTGTATTAAAATAGTATTGCAATGTATGTTTAAATCAGACCATTAACATCAACTTAAAGTCTGCTGATTCTTATTAACTTTCCTTTGATTTTCATTGGAGTAGAAGAAATTAGCCAAAATTATATACAAATGCGTATCTACCTATCTCCCTGTATACAGAGCCTCAGGTTTTCTGATGAGCAAGCAGCACATGTACTTTCAAAGACCAAATCTGACCATTTTATAATCTGACAATGCAAATACAGTTTCTATAATTGTACAAGTATCTGTTTTGGTCTTATGATAAGAGTTATGTGTCTGCTCTGTCACTAGTTATCTCTTTGTCAGTGGGAGATGCAAATAGGAGTTTGTAACAGAAAAGTAGGCAAAATGTGAAAAAAATCCCAGACAGATGCTTATAGAAAATGTATAGAAATAACTGTTCTGTTCAGCAAAAACACTATGTCCTCCTTGCAGCTGTTTTACCAGCTATTTCTTGTCCTCTGACAGAAAGAGATGTGTATAAGTATTCTGCCAAAAGTGACTGCTAGTCTAACTCCTTTTTTTCTTACAATCTGTCTGCTAGCACACAACAGATAAAATTACCTTCTTGACACGAAGAAGGACACAACGTCCAGTCACTGAATGGAGTCACAATACAGTCCTTCCTACAGGGAAGGAGGCAAGGCCTCACTGTTTCTGGTCGGAGGCTCTCAGGGCATCTGAAAAAATAACCAAGAAAGAAGCATTATCAGGTAAACAAGCATTCTGCAGTGAAGTGGTGAATCACAAGAGGTACTGAATGCCTGCAGGCATGAGCGGAGTGCTAGTTGCCCAGATATCACCAGGACTGAGCTTGGATATAAAAACTGTTAGAATTTAAATATAGCTGGTGGAAGCAAGCCCAAACCAGTGCATTCTACACCTGGGGATTTAACTAAAAAAAAAGTGATGATTCTTCACTCACCATTCCAGACTTTGCCTTTTGGGTGTTATTTCCAAGCTTCCAAATGATTATGCAAAACAGCCATCTAGTTTGGCTAAGCAAAACACATTTTTAGCTCTTCATAAATTCACCAGAAACATAAACTCTGGAACAAGGCACATTTAAACTAAATAACATTGCTAACTCAGGAACAAAAAGGTATAAGCGGACCATGATTATGACAGAAGCCAGAAAAGGGTCTGAAACTGCCAGATCAGTGCGACTGTGAAATACTGTCAGAAAGGACAGACAACCTGGCTTGTTTTAGGAAGAGGCTTGATCAGCCTTTACAAGGGATTATTGGACTGCCACATGTGGGACTCATTAACCCAAGTCATTTTCACCCATTCTGTGTTCCTATTATTTCATCAAGGACAAACAACTCTCTATGCTGTAATACTTGTTTTCAGAATGATGCAACAACTCTTGCAGAAGTACTGCAAATCTTTACAGTAATTTCAAAATAACTACTGCCTTAAAAGTGCACAGAATGTAGACTGCCAGAAGATTACATAAAGAGGTAAGAAAAATGAGCTTTTGGCTCATTGCAGAAAAATTATGACTAGATTTTCATCTTGCGGCTGCTGGGCATCTTTGACCAGAGAAATGAGGGACCAGTTTTACACTTGGATTGGATCATCTAGGGAAGCTTGGCTTGCACGAAGCATCTTTCTTGCCAAGCTGAAAGGAGCATAGGCAAGTCTAATGATGAACTACCAAGAAAATGTGGTCTCCGTGATCAGCGGAGAGCTCTGTGTGTCAGTATGGGAGAAGCAGCAGGGGAAAGGAGAAGAAAAGTTGAGTTGCAACTTTACAGGAACAAGTTCTTCAGCAATAGCACTTGCTAGTTCATGATTTCCCTTGGTTGTCTCTGCATTTTCCTGCCAATTCACATAAACTTCTCAGAGTACAATCCATTACAGTGAACCAGCACCAACTTCTTGGTGCCCTCTTATCTCCACCCTTTCTCTTTTCTCCCCTAAAATATGAGTGTAAAAGATTATGAGATATTATAGCTATAGAAATATAAATCTCCATCACCTCGCTGTAACCTCGCTACATTTTTAAGTCATTTCTATGTGATACATAAAACCAGATTATATAAGCATGGGTGTAATATATATGGTCAGGCACACTTTAAAAAAACGTCTGCCACCAACCATATACATTGACTACACTTTCAGAAATTCTCTCTAAGGTTAAAATTCAAAGTGTTTCTGAATAGTATTGAACATTGTCTTACTAATGGCTTTTTCCTTAAAGAACAACAGAAATTATAAGCATACAAAAAAGTCTGCATTATACACGCTCACTGTTGCACTGAGAACTTCGTCTTTCAGGAGCACTGAACATAAGAATTCCTCTTCAGATCCTTGGGCAAGGCAATTAGTTCAATTAGAACATCATTTCTATCTTTTATATTGTTTGCATTTAGTACATGTGGCTTAAAGGGAAGTATTGATTTTTCTGCAGTCCTTACTCAAGGTCAAAATAAACAGAAGAGATACAAGCTGAAGTCTGTAGCTTGTGAGGTAGATAAGGCCAATAATATTGATTGTATCATACCACAGTAATCCTTTTTATTAAGGGGAGTTTAAAACAAGGTTCCTATTTACATTTTCATGTTAAATGTCTGGTTCTTCATTAAAAACGATTCAGTGATTTTAACATGACAATTTGAAGGATCAAGCAAGTCATTTTTCCTCCTTTCACAGGATTCATTTATGACACAATAAAACAGCCCTCCTCCCAAATATTTAAGGTGAAATCAAAGGCAGAGACATTAACAGCAGATTTAAAAAGGAAGATAAATCATTAGAGGTTTTTTTGAAGTGTAAAATGAGTACCAAATAAAAGATATAATGGTATCATAACTGAATAGAACAGCTACTTAATGCAGATATACAACAATTTAGATTACTGAATGTGCTGACATTATTCCCCATATTTTCATTTGAAGTAAATTAGGAACAAGTCTACTGCTGAATAAAGCAACAAATGGCAGGCACAGTGCAAATATTTAGTGCAAGAATAGCTGCCTCATGAACATTCTAAATGACTTCTGCTATCAGCTCTTCCAGCTTGGATTCTACCTTCAGTGGGATATATTCACTGACTGCCAACCTATATGAAGATATTATCAAATGTGTTTTACTAGCATCTAATCTATATTTAACCCTGGTCATACATTAAACTGCAAAATTATATCACTGGGCCAAAGGGATCTCTTAGAAAAACACGCATATGGGGAAAAAAACCTCAGAAAGGATGTCAAACTAATGTTTCAAACTAATGCCCTGTCAGAGCTGTACTATACTTGACCCCCTCAGTCTGCTTCTGACAAGATGCATTTAGAGGGGTTGTACAATATTTAGACCCAAAACAGTATTTTTGCATGGAACTGCACTAATCCATATAGGGCACTGCTTGCCCAGAGGTATCGCAAGCACCTTGGAAATGGTGCTGCACTGCACACCACACACGTGCCTCAAGACTTTTATCTCAGCTTGACCTGATGATGGCAAGGAGCCAACTGGATTTGGCAGTCAGTCAGTTTTTGGCAAAATCACCACTGTAAATATCACCCATAAAATTCAGTAGTGAGAAAGGTATTATATAGTCCTTCTGTAGCTTAAGTTTCATATTTTTAAAAGATTAATTTTTTCCTCATCAGAACACAGATGAGGGTCTTTTTGTCTTTGCATGCAGTCATTGGTGATATAAATATAAAGCAGCAACATCCAAAGATAATTACAGCATGAACATATTTTTTAAGATCTTTACTTTTTTGGGCCCACTTGTCCCACGTTGACTCTCACACAGATGACCTTTCTTGTCTGCATCCCCACAGAACAGGTGGCCTCCCCGTTCCAGCTGGCCGAGGAGTTGAAAGCAGAGACGGACGTATCCTCTATGCACTGTCCCCATGGGCCGGTCTGCCAATGATACACAGTGCAAGAGTGTTCGTTACAGCTGCGCGTTTCCTGTAGGGCACTACTATTTGGGCACTGTATTCCTCCTGGAACAATAAAACAGGGCAAAAGTTCATGCAATGGAATAAAATGAAGTGTTCTATTTAAAAAAAAATACAACACATTGAAATGTTGTTACTTATATATCATCACTTTGATTACATGAAAGAAATGTTGTTCCTTTTTCCTCCTCTTCATATGCCCAACATGGACTTTGATAGACTTCAGTCAACAGACTACATAGAACAGAATGTACATGGACAGCAAATGTAAACATGTACAATAAGGATGCCAAAATAATCATAACTTCCATAACACCCTACTTCAGTATGCTTGGAGTAATCTACACACTATTTTCGGGTTCTCTAGACGACACTGCAAGAGATGACAGAAGGAAGTATGAAACCTCTAGGTAAAAAAATGGTTAAATATTCTAGTTACGCATGTGTAGAGACCACTGTTTATGTCTAATTCATGGATCAATTAAAAAGATTTTTGGAGCTCTTGTTCTAGGTCCCAGTGGATATTTATCCATTTTACGTAATTACCAAAGTGATGGCACAGCTGGCAATTTCAGGTCCAGACTGGGATAACAAAGGTTGTTGCAGGTAAAGATTCAAATGCATTCATGTGTCAGTAATTGTAAAGAAAAGCACAGATAATGCTATCTTTGTTGTGTCCGGTTTCAGATAGTATGTTCAGTTTCTTACATTAAAGCACTCCAATGCTAATCTGGCCTCCCAGTCCTCCACAAGTACAGAAGAGGTCTTTCCTACCAGAGCTGATCACAGGCTACTAGATATCTAGTCCTGTGAGTAGACAGCATGTCTGCTAGATCTCTGGTATTACCAGACACAGAGAATCTAGGTTTGAGAACTAATTTAAACATTCGTGGCCTACACAGGAACAACAGGACTCCTATCTCCAGACGATAGAAAGCCAGGGGAAATTTAAATAAAATTTCAGTCTTTCCTAAAAGACCAGAACAGTAAGAAAGATAACTGAAAGAGAAGCTTTCTATTAGTTACTGTAGATGAGCTATACTTTGCTTTTCACTGAAAAGAAAAATGTATGCTTACACCAAGCACATATCAGACACTGCATAGCTTTTCTATCCCACTTCTGAACATCAGGTTGACCACTGATCCTACAGCAGTGCAAGAAGGAAGGGGTTTTAAGCACTCGTTGAGAGAAATTCAACAACAGCTAAATGTAATGAAAGAAACAATGCACTCTTCAGGTACTCCAACACAAGTAAGTCAAGTGTCACAAGCAGTGAGAATACTTTGTACGCTAAGTTGCTTTTGTGGAACATCTAGATCTGCAGCAAACGTGAGGAGAGGGCCAATCTAATGAAACCATAGGACAAAATCCAAATTCTCAAATTGTTTCTATGGAGATAATTTTAACTTCTGACTTTGGGGTAAAATATTGATGCAACTAAGAAATAGTAAACACCATATTAACTGAGAAGTCATGCCAAAGACGAGCTAATCTTAAACACTGCAAAGGGGGATTAGAAAAAGCTAAAAATATGTGCATGTAATTAAACAATGACTGAAACCTAACTGTTCCTGGCTCAGAATGAACGCAACTCAACTTTATCAGATTAGCTTTAAATATATGTCGATATGCATAGCACCAAGACAAAACGTCATACGCATTTTCCTAAAAAAAACCATAAAAAAAATCAAATGATGAGACAAAAACATGGTTATATAATATGTTTCTAAATCTTATTCAAGCAGCTTCCTTCAGGAAATAAAAAATCTTCCAGCTAACAGCGGCAGATAGGAATATAAGCAAGGAAATTAGGAAAGTGAGTGTATTTCGAAAAAGAAAAAAATATCAAAGATTACAGTAAAGACACAAAATATTTGGAACTGGAGAGAAAATTTATCCACTTGAGAAGGAAGCTAGACATGCTCCCCCAGTACAAGGATTAAAAAAAGGAGAAGTTAGAAAAGACAAGGAAGGTTACTAAATTAGTTATTTCCATGTGATGTTAGATCAAGAAGAAACACAAGAGAAAAATTTTGGCAAATTCATAAATTAAAGAGGGGTGTGTGGGAAGAAATACTTCCCCAGGAATGGATGCCATAACCACCAATTCCTAAGGCATTTGAGAATAAAGTGAGAATTTAGATTCTGTTTTCACAGCTATGCAAGAATATATACTCAGGATAAAAATGAGATTGACATTACAGAATCACAGAATCACAGAATGGTGGGGGTTGGAAGGGACCTCTGTGGGTCATCTAGTCCAACCCCCCTGCCGAAGCAGGGTCACCTACAGTAGGCTGCACAGGATCTTGTCCAGGCGGGTCTTGAATATCTCCAGAGAAGGAGACTCCACAACCTCCCTGGGCAGCCTGTTCCAGTGCTCCGTCACCCTCAGAGGGAAGAAGTTCTTCCTCATGTTCAGACGGAACTTCCTGTGCCTCAGTTTGTGCCCATTGCCCCTTGTCCTGTCGCTGGGCACCACTGAAAAGAGCTTGGCCCCATCCTCCTGACACCCACCCTTCAGATATTTGTAGGCATTTATAAGGTCCCCTCGCAGCCTTCTCTTCTTCAGGCTGAACAAGCCCAGTTCCCTCAACCTCTCCTCGTAGTGGAGATGCTCCAGTCCCCTCACCATCCTTGTAGCCCTCCGCTGGACTCTCTCCAGTAGCTCTTCATCCTTCTTGAACTGGGGAGCCCAGAACTGGACACAGTACTCTAGATGAGGCCTCACTAGGGCAGTGTAGAGGGGAAGGAGAACCTCCCTTGTCCTGCTGGCCACACTCTTCTTGATGCACCCCAGGATCCCATTGGCTTTCTTGGCAGCCAGGGCACACTGCTGGCTCATGGTTAACCTGTCGTCCACCAGGACACCCAGGTCCCTCTCCGCAGAGCTGCTCTCCAGCAGGTCCACCCCAAGCCTGTACTGGTGCATGAGGTTGTTCCTCCCCAGGTGCAGGACCCTGCATTTGCCTTTGTTGAACCTCATCAGGTTCCTCTCTGCCCAGCTTTCCAGCCTATCCAGGTCACGCTGAATGGCAGCACAGCCTTCTGGTGTATCTACCACACCTCCCAGTTTGGTGTCATCAGCAAACTTGTTGAGGGTACATTCTAACTCTTCATCCAGGTCATTGATGAAGAAGTTGAACAAGATGGGCCCAGTACTGACCTCTGGGGGACACTGCTAGTTACCGGCCTCCAACCAGACTCAGTGCCTCTGATGACAGCCCTCTGAGTTGTGCCATTCAGCCAGTTCTCAATCCACCTCACCGACCACTCATCCAGCCCACACTTCTTGAGCTTCCCTAGGAGGATGTTATGGGAGACTGTGTCGAAAGCCTTGCTGAAGTCTAGGTAGACAACATCCACTGCTCTCCCTTCATCTACCCAGCCAGTCATGCCATCGTAGAAAGGTATCAGATTGGTCAGGCATGATTTCCCCTTGGTGAATTCCATGTTGACTACTCCTGATAACCTTCTTTTCCTCCACTTGCCTGATGATGGCCTCCAGGATAAGCTGCTCCATCACCTTTCCCTGGATGGAGGTGACTTGTAAATAAAAAATATTGGGGCACAAATGTCTGCAGCTCAGTGTGAATCCAGTTCTGTTCAGATGAAACCAGTAGTTAAATAACTACATGAAGAATAAACAAATGTGGAAATAATATTACTGAAATCTAAAACAACTATCACCAGTACTAAATCTTTGTAATACTAAAAAAATACACTATTTATTTATAAATCAGTGTGACATTCTCTCCAGGAAAACAGCATTTCCTTGTGCTCCCTTCAAATTAAAATAGGTACAGTAAAAGCAGAAGGGGTTGGAAAACCAGCAGTCAGAGATGCCCTTTATAACATCTGCATAGGGGTAACAAGACAAGGGCCACTCTAAGAGCATTTCACCAAATGAAGACAAGTTTGACAGGAATATAAAAATTGATGAGTATCACAGAAAAAAAGTAAACCAGACTTTTCATTTTATCAGAATACATGAAAAAGAGACATACAATACTCAATATATTTTATATAATACATGATTAGATGACTGTAAATGGTTGGCAGTACTAAAAATATTCATTTCAAGGTACAAAAACCAGTTGCAGCTGAAGCTTTTCTTTTTGGTTTTGGATACTTAAGTAAAGCACATGTGGAAATGAAAGGCTAGCTTTACAGAGGGACTTGCACATTACTCATAAAATAGCAGAGATATGAGGGTAATTTCCTTGAATGCTTTACCAGAATTCTCATGTGCATAGATTGCTTTTCTGCCTGATTTGGAGCTGGTAATGGGTAAGACATCTCACTCTAGGATATTCAAGGATTGGACTTTATAAGTCTTATTTTGTGACACTGTCTTGACAACTTCCCAATTTCAAAATGCTTAACAATTTTTAAAGTATTTAGGATCATTTTAATTAATCATTTTGATATCATTCATTTTACAAATGCATGTAATTTTATATGTGCATTTCAAAACAGTTGGAATAACCTTAAAGTCTGAGAAAACAGATGCGACTGAAGTGTCTCTCGTGATCTAGAGATTATCTTTGCCTTAGGAATGAGGTAGGCACTCCTCAAAGCAGCTGCACTTCCCGAAGACAGATGTGGTCAGCACATGCACGCCGCTAACATAAGAACAAAGACTGCCCTGTTGGTGCAGATCTCCTGTTCCAGCTTTGCAAACATTCATGCTTCTTCACCTAGTGCGTATCAGTTACACAAACCAAGCAGACCTCTCCTACCACACACAACAGGACAGGACTTAGGGTGCATCCATGGGAGACGAGAGGTCTGTCCTCAAGTCCTTTCTTGGACAGGATTTGAATCCCAGACCCCACACTCCAGGCAGGAATCTGAACTGAGGGGCTCCTGAGCAAAAGGAGAAGCACAGTCACGTCTTCTCCCCTGGCTCACCTACACACAGCGGTGGCAGGTCACTCTGCGAGTCTAGCCTGAAAATTCAGGTTCCCCAGTTCCAAAACTAAGTGGGTTTTAATTCTTGTTTCAGCTGATATCAATTAAAACTCATGACAATCCCTATCTTCTCCAAAACTAATCCTTTGGTGAATAAGCAATTTTCTGTAAAAACAATTACTTGAGTCTATTTTTTCAGATTTAATTATCAAGCACTGTTATTTCAAGCCAGGAAAATACAAAAATTACAAACAAACAAACCAAGCAAGTATAAGAAGAGTAAACACATTAAAAATCCCCAAGTATAACTCTTCTTTTGCAACTATGAAGTCAAAGTGCACTGGAATTTTAACAGGAATGTAATTTTAAAGCATATCAACCATAATTTGCCTAGAGATGAGAAGAAACTCCTTTGATCCAGCTATTCCTTACATGTTCAGTAAATCAGTCTTGCAGATTTAGGAGAAGTATGAGCTACTGGCTCACATCAAACAGAATACCTGATGAGATGGACAACTGATTTTTTTTATACTAACTCACTCACTGATCATAGTCTGTGATGGCTGAGGTCACATTAAATAGTCCTTCTGGCATTATACTTCAAGTCCTTCTGGCATTATACTGCACTAATTTGTGGACATACAATAGTCACAGTAAGACATTGCCATGAATAGGCAACCTGCCCCAAGAGAATATTTCAAATAAAATCATCCTTCACTCTCATTTTATTAAACTAAACTTTTAAATCAGATTATTTTCTTCTTTTCATTTGACTTGTGGGTTGTTTTTTTTCATCTTTAGTTTTCCAAAATCAGTATCAGTCATTTACTACTGATAAAACTTGGAATGTATCCACAATATTAGTGTTATGCTGCATGACGCTGATTTGGCAGTGTCACTTAATGGCAGTGTATAATCAATATAGCATCAATCTGCATATCTACTATTTGCTGAAAAATTAAGACCCATTACACTTTTTAGTCTCAGGCCATAGCTTATGTAAAGTAGTCTTAGTGCGTATTACTAATCACATAGGATTTACTGTAAGCAGGAGATAAAAAAAAAGCAGAAATATGAACCAGAAAATAAAATAAAAATAGACAGACCCTACATTCAGCAGAGATAGGCTGAGCTGTATACGATACCTTTACTAGACTCAGGCGGAACAACTGTATGATGTATCAGGTAACATCATTATGTCCTCTGCTGTCATTTTAAATTTTGAGACCATGACTTTCCTGAGTTTCTTACTGTACCATGAAGATGTATTTGACAGTGACACAAATGAGCTACCACTACAGGCAGGCTCACAGACAGGCAAATTTATAAATCACTTCACCTTTCATACCTTCAAGCTGAAGACAATGATCTCAGAAAAGATCTCAGAAATGGTTATTGTGACACCCATTTCAACATGGAGTGGTCTCACAAACCACAGAAAGTCTTTATCTTGAGGAAAGAGACTCCTCTCTCTCTCTCTCTCTCTCTCCATTGAATGCAAGTAAATAAGTCCACCCCAGCTGTGCATAATCACACTGTGCTTGAGGCTCTGTGTGTGGTTTGACCATGCAGAAGGGGTGTTGCTCTGAATGACGAAATGCTGATGAGAGGGTGTACGGTCGAGGTCACCTCCCGGCTCAAGCAGAAGGCAGCATGGTGCTGAAGGGGCAGTCGTATCCCAGAACTTATTAGAAAACTTTGTCACTACTGTCATTTACATATGGCTTCAATTTTTCCTGTGAAGCTATACTTATCACCAAGGAATTATGACAATACTACTAAATTATTCCTATTCTAAGTCATCCAAAAAAATCAATTATACTGTGGCTGTTTCCTGGTTACCAGTTCCGCTAACTTGATGGTTTCTTCAAACCAATTCAGCAGCATAGATAGCTGGGAAGTAAAAAGAAAACTAAGGTCTTAAACATGAAATGCAATAGCTCTATCATGGACAGTCATCTGCAAACATTAACAAGTAAAATGACAGAATATAGTATTTATTTATTTCAAAGAGGAGAGAAACTGAAAAATCACAGACAACACTTTGATAAGAAGCCACCCAAGTTCCAGATAAAAGAATCTATTTCATATGTATTCACAGACCCTCAAAAATTTCAATGGGAAATTTCAATTTCAATGTTTATGAACCCCATTGAACAAGAATTAAGCACTGCAGATACTTTGACGGATGGCAATATTCCTTATGTGTGTAAGGCCTGCAATGCTTTGATCTTGCCAGGCTTGTAGACTGAATTCTCTATGACTAGCAGGAGGATGCATGCGATTAGGGACTCACAGTGACAAACCTGGATTCCTTATGTCATTCTGGAAGTCAAGTTTAGCCTTATTCATAGACTGGAAACAGGTTTGTACATTCTGTCATTAATTAATGTCCAAGTCCTGATAACACACAATATATATATGTACAATATATGTGTCCCATTGTGTTCTGAATAAAAACTCTCAAATATCATGGCTATATCATACAGGAATTACTATGAAATGGCTTACCTAACCTCATCTAGCTTTCATACCAACAGTTCAAAAATGAAAGAGGAAACACCTGTGGGACTGTTAACCTGAACAGAAATGATAGCTATTTTTAGAACTCAGTTTTAATGTGTAAATGGAATTATTGATCTTACATTCATGAGACTTGGGACTTTCAGTTTTCCATGATGTTTACCGAGTTTTCATAACAGTAATGTGCATTTTTTATAAGCTCTGAATACAACCGAGAATTGTATGTTTCCCAAAAAAGGTTCATGTGGAGCTTCCTTTCTACATCAGCAGAACACAGACTTTCAGATACATGAACATATTCTGTGCCCTCAGAACATAAAATGACTTCCCAGCACCAACTACACAATCAGTGTTTTACGTTTTGGGAACATTGCTGATCTCTGTCATGCAATTCTGGAGGTGAAAAAGTCATTCAGCTGTTTGTCATGCAGCAAATGACTAAGAGGCATATGAGGAGAAAGATGACAATAACCAATTTCAGTGAAGCATAAAAAATAAAAGCTAAACTGATACTTTTTGAATATAATACAAACAAAGGTGAAAAGTACCTTCCAGCTAGATTTGTAACAATATGCTAAGCCTCGGAAGGTTCTTTTATTTATTTACGTATTTTTATTCTCTGGAGTTGGTACAGAGTGCAAAGGAGCATGGTGTTGAAGATATCTGGACAAGATGTGAGTGAATTACTATAAGCTAGGTATCCTTAAAAAAAGCACAGCATAACCTCATCTCAAAATAGTGGTAGAGAGGCCAAGGTTCGAGCAAAGCTGAAGCACTACTACATCTAGGTAATGAGTTGGCTTTCTCAGCCATTGTTTAGGGATCTCTTCACTACTACCTGTGTGGTTTGAGACCTGTCAATCTCTGGGATCACTCAGTGCTGGTTCTGATCATTGCACAACAGACATAAATAAAATTCATACATCTAAAATCCAGTCTAAGTTTAACTGCTTTGCTGCATCTGCAGCCTTGTATATTATCCTAAGATGTGGTAAGTACCAAAGTCAGAATAAAATAGGTATTTTTTAAAAAGAAGCATAAGAAAGTGGAATCATTTTCTAGAGCAATTTTCATTTTTTACTTCTGTGGCATGCTTGCCAGGATGTTAAATTACAGTCTCCAGTAAAACTGCATAAGCATAGGGAAAAATCTATTATCTTGACCTACATGGAAAAGCCAGAAGCACAGAAATATATGTTTATTTGAATTATTATCTGAAAACATGGCTCTGTGTTTCCCTCAGAATAAGTCCATTTGACACACTATAAAAGAGGACAACATAAAACCAATTTTGTTTCTGATTTTAAGAGCATTCCTACTTTTTTATATAGATCTAAGTAATTTTTTTATTTGAATCACCTGCTAAAATTATTATAGTACTGATTGCCTCTAACACTCGTAGCAAAGGTTCCTTTCAGGGAAAAGGCTGAAAATGTCTCCTCTGCTATGTATTTTTTTAACAATTACCTGAATTAGCAATGAAAATAACTGTGTTTTCAAACAGAGAAGTGTTTTGGTATATGATGAATCCTGCACCTTTCTTTCTCCATTTCTCAGAATGAGTATTCTGTTTCACTACTTCCTTTCTTTACAGGTTTCACTTTTCAGCTAAATTTTGTCAGCTCTTAAGTAATAAAATGCTTAACAGTTTTAAAGAAGAATTAAACCCTGCACATATCCTTTTCTATTGAAGGCACTGAACTTTAGTGTCAGTAATACACTTGAGTAAATGTTTTCCAAGAACTCTTTGGTGACTATGTCTCCTTGCAGCCAGTGTCGCACAAGGCATTTTACCAGTTGCACCCTGGCACACGTGACGTGGCCATTTTAGAAACATGTTACATACAGAATACATTTGGTCTATTACCCCCCAAAATACTTCAGAACAAAACAAAACCATTTATAGGAAGCATGGAAAATAATCAAAGAATAGACATGAAACTTTATCTAAAACCTTCTTCTTCTTCTCCTTTATAATCCAGATATGTTTTCTCTTTGCATTTGCTGCAGACACTGCACAAGGACCATTTGCATGAATGGAAACCACTCACGTGAGAGAGGATTTGCAGGGTAAAGCAAACTCTTACTATAAATAAAAATGTTAATATTACCAATTAGAGCTAAGAAACTGCAAAAGCAGTTTTCTTAGAATTTGTATCCATTAAAACTTTCATCTTTCCAGCATTCATATTTATATCCTTCCAAACTAGACCTAAATTATAGCTACAGTTACTAACGACCCTCTACAAATATTTTTCACAGAGATCTGCCTAGGATATATTGTTTGTGTTATTTAATGTTAATTTTAACAGAAAATAGGAAAACATATATTTGAAACCATAACAGTAACATTTTGCAGAATAATAAAAAAAAGCAACATTAACTGAAAAAATCAAAATAAAATCTCCTCTTTAAAACAGCTTCAGGAACCATGAGCAAATGTAGGATAAGCATTTAAATATTTTTCCTCTATGTAAAAAAATACCAGCTCCAACTAATAATTCATTTCTGTTGATCAAGAAATTGCTTTGACATTGCAAAGACAGTTGAGAATTCACAATCAAATGAGAGTCTGCAAGAGTATGCAACCTTACCTTCACCTGCATATGCCAGAATGGAGCGGGCACGCATCTGCTTCCCTTCTGTGGTTTTGCCGGAGCAGGTGTGTGAGCAGGAGGACCACGCGGACCACATGCTGAGCACACAGTCCTTTGGGCACGGAGCTTCGCAGACAACCGGGATTGGGTAGACAGCATCTCTACACAGCTGTCTGTCAACCTCTTCTCCTGGGAAAGAAAAGGCCAGTAGCAGTCTATCATTTGTTAAATTAACTTAAAATGAGCAGTCTAGTCCAGATGGGCACACAAATAAATTAGATTCTGTTCTTCTATATAAACAAGGTAAATAGATTTTTTTATTAAAATGACTTGTCTCCTCTGCCTTGATTCTAGAAGAACATGATTAAACCTAGTTTAATTTGATATTCTGCTGAAGTGAATGCCAGTCTGGGTGGTCTTTAGGCTTTCATTTTGTGATTGTATATTTGATTCCACAGAACATCCTAATGTGAATAACAGAGTATATAATACACCTATGGAAAACTGGAAATGTGTGTACGTTAATCATCTAGTCTTCATCCACGTTTGTGGGTGAAGGAGTGAGGTATCCTAGCTTCCAGCTCAGCTAGTTTTATAACCCACAATTCATCCTTTGAACTGCAGCTATGCATCACAGCATGAAAAGAGTTGCAGTAAGCTACAGTCAGTGTCTTGTTTGGTTAGAAAGATCTTAATTTGTTAGCCAAGTCTGCAACACATTACTCTTTGTGCCATGGAAGTATAAAAAGATCTATGTATTTGTATTCTGTCACATCAATGCATACATTTCATTGTAATAAAAAGATGCAGGGTGGTATAAATTGTCTACTGAAACACTAGCTAGTGTGTAAGTAGCAGGACTACTACTGTTGTTTCAGTAAGGAAATCATGGGAGCACCGTGTGTGAGATCACCTTAATCACAGAATCACAGAATGGTAGGGCTAGTGTGTAAGTAGCAGGACTACTACTGTTGTTTCAGTAAGGAAATCATGGGAGCACCGTGTGTGAGATCACCTTAATCACAGAATCACAGAATGGTAGGGGTTGGAAGGGACCTCTGTGGGTCATCTAGTCCAACCCTCCTGCT